ACTTTGCGTGGTGTACCATTCCTTCTGAAGATATTGACACATTCCACCTACACCATTGTACCATCCAGACATCTAACCATGCGCTGTACAATGGTCCTGTAGTTGAGCTGGAATGGTTGCTAAAAATGCTCCTTTCGCGGCTAACGATGTGGAAATCAATGGAGCGGCATGCACCCCATGACGGCATGAACACATTTTCTACATGATGCCAAGCGACATTACAACCTCGGGTGGATCATGTTGAACAAATGGGAGCGCGGCAGGTCACAAAACGACGCCGACAGCAGCATGGAGGGTGACACAACACACATCAGCGCAGCCCCACCAGTTTAGCATTATGACCAACACAATGGATGTACGTAGTTCTCGAAAGCTTCCTTGCTCTGGTGGAGCCTGCCGTTGCTCCAAACTTCATTTACTGTAACCGCTTGACACACTGAAATGTCTCCAACTGATGTACACTGACGCCAGATAGCTCCCTCGTGACCTGGCTGCTGTGGGGGACAAAAACGTGCGAAGAACATACATGTACACCATTCTGTTTGCTGTCTAACGGCAGTTGCTTCAACCCATCCAGTGGTTAACGACAATACAAAACATTGGCCACCAATAACGTATCGCGGGATCGTGGCGCTTTAATCTCCTTCACAGCACCGCAAAGCAATAGCGAGCACTCGGAATCTTCCTGTGTGTGTTCTCTCGTTTGAATTGTTTCTTGCTGTTTTGCCATTGCGCTGGAGACCAATGGTCTAAATGCGGTGCGGGGTAGCAACGAGGTACGCCGTGCGGGTGCATCGGGTCCTCTCCAGGTCTACAGGGGTACAGGCACGTTGTTCTCACCCTGCCACGCGTACCGGCCCTAGCTTCCGCACGATGGTAGCACGTGTGGCCATCGCCAAAGCTTACGTGTAGTACAGTATGGCTGGAGGATTCCATGGATGCATTGACATGTTCCGATTTGACCTGGAGCGAAAGGAGATGCTTTTAATAAACTACTACCGACTACAGTGCCAGCAATAGTGGTTTGGAGCGTTCACGAAATACATGTACGTGGCAGACTTTCCAAACGAGCTAGCTATATACTAAAGTGCTTTTTAACGCCACGCCTCACTCAGCCGCGTGAACCATGCCATACCAACTCACAGTTCCTCTCCATCTTGCCTTCTTTCCATCCCTGACTCTAGGTACAGACCACAGCCGTTGAACACACAGGCCACGCGGTTATCCAAACGGAACGATAACCGAGAACATTTACAGAGAGTAGAACTCAGATGGCTAGCCAAGGAAAAAATAGTAACATGGAAAAATGTGGGCACAAGTTATGCGATCGAGTCCACCAACCAAATCAGATTTTGAACAGTCAGACGTGCACAATCTAGCACAAAACTGACAAAGAGTACTGAGACATTACAAGGCATGAAAGTCAGCTTGAGCACTGCTCGATAGCGCTAACCAACGGCCTTCCAACTTGGAAGGTTCATGGATATTAGTGCTAATTCCAAAGGGGGGAAGGTAAGCGCCAACGAGTAGTTATTCATATCTTCAGTGGGTGCACACAGTCATTTGCATGAGGTACTATGCATTCGAACCATTTGAGAGCAAGAACGATGTGAAGACTCCATTGCAGCATTATAATGTATTACGGGTAAAGTATTCATTGGTGATTTGACCAAATAAATGGCAAACAACATTTTCAGCGACGAGCAAGGTACTGTCATCGCACATGTAGTTTGTGTTAAGGTTGATAACGGATTGTACTCAGGGTTGTTTCGCTTTGCAGGACGGTGGGTGTTTCATTGGATAACCTACGAGTACATGTACAAGAACTTGTCATGTAATTGTTATGGTCTTGGTGTTAACGGTTGCCACTTTGAAAGCACACGATGTCATGTCATGTCCTGGCAACTGTTCGCCTTTCCAGGGTGTAATCATTTTTACATGAAGAGTAGGCGAGAATTTGCGCGTCCGTTGCTACATCCGTCCCACGAACTGCCTATCCGATGCTGGGTGCTACTGTGTCGGGGACGGCCGTTGACTTCTAATTCAATAGGAACAGCAGCTGCGACTTCAGCGTAAGTGCATTTGTGGCAACTGTGTGAAGCGCAAGCGTAGTCATGCGTGCGGATACACAGAGTGGGGCTGAAAGAGTCTCTCCTTTTTGGTTTTGAGCATGTGCGTGTTGCTCGGTAAGGTGTGTGGCGTGTTTCCAGTGTTTCCTCTGCTATAGCAAGTCAGTTGCACTCTGAAACGGACGCCATTCCTGAGGAGAGTTGGCGCGCAGCTGCCGCTGAAATCTATACTGTAATCAATGGCTGGACTTCCTCCCCCGGCTGTTTCCACCTTTTCAGCGTGTGTTCCTTTGCTGGCTCGACTGTGCTTAGAACGAGCCGACTGTCCGCCTCGAATCAACTGCAAAGCGCGCCGCGAACTGTGCGCGGAACGCAGCGTGGAGGAGATACACCGAAGACAAAACGCATCGCCAGCTATGGGTCGATGCGTGGTGAACAAGATGAAGAGGACGACGCTATCCTCGTGGTGGAGTGATGGTTGAACTTCTGACCAGCCTGAACGAGATACACGGTTTTTCCCGTGACCGCTCACTTCTCCCTTCCTTCACCTACACTTTCCATTGTTGACCAACCTCGGATCTGCAACCTTGATTGCTGTCAAGTTATGGTGCGTAGCTTGGTATAACGGCTGGACCAGCCTGCGTTCCCTGCGGCCGCTCCTCACAACACATACCTGCCAATCATGCCTGAAACATTGAGGGGAGGTGCTACCACTCACGCTAAAACAGAACACGCATCTGATGCGAGTTCTTTAAGGGGTCGTCTGGCTGGTCCCAAGAAAGAACATGACTATATATGGCACGCGGCAGAGCACAGAGGTGGCGTATTGAGTGTGAATAACATAATGGCGGCTCGCAATGCACTCTACTGCCGTACTGGTATTGACTAGCATAGTGTCAGTGCCCCAGGCACAGTGCAATCTGTAAACGCGTGTGGTAGTTGTAGAACGGTTCAGCGCCAGTGCAGCCTACGAGAATGAGAACAGAGGCGATGATGGATGTGTGGAAGGGCAGGCTTGTTCCAGCACTACTACTAGCGAGCATCCATCACCAAAATCTTCCAGATATCTGCTATTGTTCTCAACATATCGTTGGCTATCACCCCTCTCTCGCACTTTGCGTGCCAATTGGTCATGGACCACGAGTTGAGTGACATAAATAAATAAATATCACTTCTTTCTTCTAGCTTCCTTCTCCCTTAGTCCCTTAGTCCACGCGATTCTCTCATCCCTTATTGACGCCAGTCACCATCGTGAGAATAAAGAACAATGCCAAGAGCACAGCAGCAGGTTTAACCGTTATACACTGACAAGTGTGACAGCATCTTAGCTTGGCTCTGTTTGCTTTCGCTGAGCACATGGTGTCTGCAAGACGCGTACACCATTCAGAACTCTATTATTCTTTACAACATAGCATCCAGATTGCTGGGTTCAATTTGTAGAAAGTTTAAACACATCCACCAAGTTCAACTAAATCAATGTGCCCAGGTCGGAATGCTGCAAGAGCGCTCAAGCATCCTCGAAGTTAATACTTCCAGCAGCAGGGGAGTGTCGGTGAGCAAGCACTAGATTTGTGGCTCATCAGCGCATTCCATCTCTTACAATAATTATAATATCCTAAAGTCGCTTGCCTGAACTCTGGATACCGTGATCTTAAAGCGCTTGCAACTTAACCGTGCCCAGTCCCACTGTGTGGTGGTATTGTATTGTGCACCTACACACCAACATGTACAGTACTGTCATATACATGTATGTTGTATAATATTGTGATTCTGCTAGTGCTACCTACAGTGTGCATGACGTAGATATCTATCAAGTCATATCGGCGTGAAAGCACCGTTGTGGGAGCAAACATCATTCCTATTCTCCTACCTGGTTGCGTCAGTTTTGTTTTGGTTTTTTCTACAACCAGCTATCTCTTCACTAGCTAAGATAAGAGCTCAGTTTTCCGTTTCAATAACAGCATGATTTTACCTGGTCATCTCGCAATCATGGAACTCGAGTCGCAGTAAATCCTTGCCCCACCTTATTAGTATGTTTGGCGTGGAGTTTAACCTGACATTTCCCCAAACCCACCCTGAGACTACCAATTTCTCATGGTACCCTGTGGCACTGGAATGTTACGGGGGTGGGGAATCGGTTGGGATATTGCGGCACGTCCACAGCAATGCTTGACTATGTAACGTCGACCGGGCAAATGCACTACGCCCCGATTTCCACACGTCCAGCGCCCATCAACACACTCTTTGCCACATTCGTTTGTTGACGAAACACATTCTAGTTTTGCAGTGCAAATAACACGCGTGCCCATTTGTTACACCCGTTAGTACCGCTCCAAAATAGACGTGACCGCCCACGGGCTTGGAACAATTTCACGTTCCGTCAATTTAGTTTCTTTCATCGCCAGTTTATCCGCAGCCCAATCGGCACTGATGGCACATTCGCGCCCTGTGTATGACTGGGGCATTGTCGCAGTCTGCAAAGCTATGTAGAAGGTAGTGTACTGCTTGCATTTCCTTTAGTTTCAGGTGAGAATGCACAGCGATGAGCGTGATGATCGTTCACTATACTCAACGTTGAATATTAATAGTCGCCAGGTTTACCCTACCGCAGGACCGCTGCGACTGATCAGGCGCGATGGTATGGTTCACCATCGGCAGCATTACGGTTAGCCATGAGTACGACCCCAGTACAGTCCAATCTTGAACGAACGGCCAAATATCTTACCTGCTGGCTAGCTCACGTGATCTTTCATGGGTCACCTGTCCGTTCCAAGTCTAATTCAATCGAGTCCCCGAGCATGCTGGCGTGCATGCCCTGGGATGCATGGCGGACGGAGTGAGCGCCCAGGACGGAGCTAGCCAACGGCGAGAGGCGAGCAGTAAGGACTAGGGTGACGACAGAGGATTGCACCTCACTGCAAGCTCCTAGTACCAGCTCATTCGAACTAAGGTAGCGGGCAGGATGTAGCATCCAAGCAGGAGAACTGCCCTGACTACTGCACTGACTGGCATCGCCATGACCGCAGGATTCCTAGGCTGGTACCCGATATTGAGCCTATTGTTGATCCAGGCCAGGCTGCGCTGGGCAGGCGAGGTGAGAAACGAACTTGCGATAAAATGCCACAGATCACAAGATCATCCCATCACTTCACTCTGTTGCTTGCTCACGACACGGTCGAGTCAGACGACTACTACTAGGGAGATCCATTCAGTTCAGTCGATGACCAGAGTTCATACAGCTAACCATACGTATTCCTCATGAAATACACACTAGCGTCGTGTGTGAGTGTATGTGCAGTAGTCCAACTGTCTCCCCGTGCCTGATAGTTTGCCTTGGAGAGCATCGTCATTCTGATCAGCACTAGTCCACATCAGAGAACTGTCCGTATCATCTTCTATCCGCTTACCACAGGCAGTACATTGCTCGTGTCCGAGTCAGGAACATCTTTACCTCGTGGCAACGTCCGCAGCGCTGTTCCTCCTCCGGCCTGTCGTGTCTGGTTCGGACGTGTACTCAGTACTCAGCTCTGAAGCCGATTGTCTGGTTTCGTGCACGGCTCACACGAGAAACGCCTGCAACCAGTGCAGACGACTAGGCACGGTCAGTGCTTGAAGAGTGAGCAGTCTCAGCTGAAGTGGTTCGCGTCAGCTTGCCAATCCTCGCCTCTCACGCTTGTGCCAAGAAAACCCCATCATCTGGCTCTCTGTGATATAGAACAAGCAATCACGGATCATCCCAGTCTGACCAAACACACGTCTATCCAAAGAACACCCGTTGCAGTTGCCAGATTTCAGAATTCGGCAGCCATGACTTCTAACTGTATTCCGATGATGGTGTGTCAATCTGCACTGTTACTGTGGATGGTACAACTTGCTGCGGGGGCATCGTCCTTCCTCTCCGCTTATCGTGGTTTCAGCTTGTTTCTGGACGACGCGGATGTCAGAAATGCCCTTCATGGAGGTAAGCATTCGCGTTTCCCAGAATGGACTTGGTCAGTTATCAATTTAAGAGGAAAGGATTTTTAGGGAATGGCTGTATAGACAAGTGACTCTAACTTACATGACCATGTGCATGGATTATTGTCTCCTGCACAACTTCGAGATCCCCCCCCCCCCTCCCCACGCGGCACCGTTCTTCATAATAATTATAGACTTGTATGTTGTCGACTCTCCATGCCAAACGAACCGGTTGGCATTTTGTCTGCACCCACCTTGGTACATACAGTGTACACTGAGATCCTAGAGGAACTGTACTTTACAAAGAGTTTAAAAGAACTAAACTGATAGCTTTAGAAACACGAGCACTAGTGTCCGTTTTCAACAGCCTTCTATTGGCAAACACCGCCCTGGATAGAAGGGAACTACGACTTGTGCACCACATTATACATAAAATAGATTTGCACTGGCGTCAGGTCGTGGGACGCCAAGATAGAATATCAAGATGTCCAGGGCGCGACTGCTAATACGATAGCTGTACAATGCACGACCTGAGTCGCGTGTTATCTGCGAAATCGGAGATGATGGACTCGCCTACGCTAGATAAGTACGATTAAAGAGTGTTTGTCTTTTCTTTGACTTTGAGGTCAGGTCGCTCCATGATAATGAGGTCGAGAGCATTTATGGCTTCCCAAAGGGACATCCAGCCGGCACTGCGCCACCATGCAAGATTTGGAAAGGAGGGAGGGGAAATTGGTGATGAATTACATACATGTACGTTTGGTGAAATCCTGACAGAGTTTCTCCAATCAGAAAGCAGCAGCTTACACACTAACGTCTAAACACAGGGCTGCGTGATCCCTCATCAGTCCATGCCAAGAACCCCATGCTGTGAACATTAACGACCTTGCTGGTGTTGGTCTAACAACGCCGACCCAGTAATTGCCTATTGATCTCAAGGACTAACCTGGCACAGCAGGACATCGAGACCAAAATGCACAGGCCTATGTGGGCTACGGACGGTACGCGGCCCAGCCAGGGCTGCTGTCGGGGTCGGAGCTAGCACACAAACACACGCGCGTTGCCAGTCCAATCGGAGCTTAGCTGCGCGAGTGGAACGTGTCGCAAAGTGAACAGGCTCGTCCACACGAAGTATTCGTGTATGTTTCCAGTTGAGCAGCTGTACTCTGCTATGGTAAAGATGTGTTTGTGTTTTGTGAAGTGCATGGCAGAGGAGTTTTTACCCAAACTGCCTCGGCAGGATTGGAGTACGTAGAGTACGTTCAAATGATCTAAACCCACTGATGACTGGGGCCTGCCCAGCGTTCCGAAATGGAATTACAATACAACACAAGCTTTGGAATTCTGCCGTTGGACAACAACTAATTACTTTTCATTCTGATGTCAAATGGGCATTTGCGATCAGGGCAAGTTAGTTGATTATTGGGACCACCTCAAACTTTTACCGGCAGGATTCATTCACGTTTCGGGGTATGACAATTTCGTGTGGGGCCTACGCCTATTCCATACCGTCAGGCTGAGTTCGCCGATCAACCAGTAATAACTGTTGATTTGTCGTTGCTCTGCACAACTGACGGACACACGACACGGTGTCACGGTGTTTCGCTCGTAGTCGAGTCGTACATCGTGGACTCTTGGCGTGGCATGACCTGTTCGTGGCTCTCTCGGGGGCCTGTCAGCGAAAACGTCAAACCTCCACTAGAGATGAAGCATTCACGTGACACGCGAAATTCCGCAGCTTCTGTGCAATCGAGGCTCGCACGATGAGCGCGATCGCCTAGCCCCGGCTCAGCTCAGCCAGCGACGGAAATAACCCGCGCAGATACAGTCCAATTCTCTAAACTGATACTTGAGCACGACAGTTCATCAGCTTTGGGGCATACTAGGAATATTTATACATGTAATGCTCTTCTGCTTGGTAAAGTGAGAAGTCTACATCACTATGATTGTATGCAGGCGAAAATAGTATGAATTATGTTATGCTACATAGTACTATGTATGCTCAATTTGTAAATAATGATATTAATACTATAATAAACCGTTTCTACCTAGACTCGTCCTGTGCGGGAAATTTCCAGTCGTTCGGTAGTCAGTTTATGACATTCTTACGTTGGAATAAACAATGTCCATGTCGAACACCGAAGAGAGCACGCTACAAGGACACGTGTCATCGTCCTTATCATTGCCTCGTCGTACCTGATCAATGTGATGCTAGCCAGGTACACTACTGTCTCCAGTGTGAGTGTGCGCGGGAGAATAACAAAGCGACGCCACAGCTGAGCATAGCACCACACTGCGTTGAAGCTGTCGACAAAAAGACCGTCATTATGTACCTGATGTACCTGATCAGGTTTGCAAAGACGCTCGAAAGAAAGATCATTCCGGCTCGTACCCAGTTCTTCCTCCTGGACGTGACCATTGGCTTTATAACTACTTCAAGTAACGAATTACTTTGATATCGAAATGATCCTCCAACTACATGTATGGTGCTGCTCAATGAAATCCAGTCAGGTCACTCAAGTATGCGCCTTGCACCATTTCGCGGGTGTATGCCTGCGCAACGCCCGGCTCTTGCTGGAGAGTCGCGACTGGATTCCATTATGTAAGTAATTAGTTCTCGTAACTAGCTCCCCGAACGTGATGAAGATTTCATCATGAATAGGATTCACCATACGACATTACGAAAAGGTTGAATGGCTCTGTGGATTCTCGGAGACAGTGAAACCAGATAGGGAAGCGGAGTGAGAGCCGATGGAGACATGTAGGGACCCACGCTGTCTCACTTCTAAACTTCTGAAGTAGGGAATAAGGCACAATTGCCACGGGGAGAGATACATGCAGTGTATTGTGATGAATCGAAATATTTATGCGTGTCCTCAATGCACGTACAATGCAGATCATGTTCTAGTGTCATTGTACTTTATAAGTTAGTTAGGTGTACCCCCGCTGTCGCCCTTTGTTTTCCTCTGCACACTGTCCGCTCTATTAGGTACAGCACGACGACGCATCCATGTCGGCAGCTAAACATTCCAGTCCCAAATTAGTTTGACATACTAAGTCAGACATACGTGACTTGGAACAATGACTGTCGTTCAAACTACGCAAAATACGGACGATCGTGAGGGACATGCTACGTTCACTGCTCAGGCAAAACACGACGATACAGATGTCTGACAGGAGAACCCGCACCCTCGGCCCCCTCCCAATCCAAAACAGTACGCACAGAGCATTGCATGAAGGATAACAAATGGCTGAAGCTGCACGCTGGTTTGCACCTGTCAGTGTTCTTTTGTTTATAAACACAACTGATATTACTTGGAGTGGCAGCGACCATGACGGGACAGGTAACATCGATACGAACGTACTGTGTCTCATTCTCCGCGGGGGAACCTCCGAGACCATCGGAACGTGTCCTATTGAATTCTTCCCGACAGTTACTGATGATAAGCTCGCGAGGAAAGGTGACATGTCCATCCAGATAAGTCGTCACAAAACGGGAGATAGGAATTATTTCGTGACTCTACTCAGCGCGTGAGTCTGGATTGCATTTTGAGAACTTCTTCAGGTCTTACATGTATACACCCTTTGGCTGTTGACTTGGGAGTCACGTGGCGACTTTACCCGAAAATATGCGCTTGGTCATCATTGAAGGTTTGAATTATGTATTCTCACTATGGCACCATCGCCACTAAGAGAAGGTGGCAGCGTTACTGACAATTAGGCTATTCCGTTGAGAGCACACATGCAAAATCTTTGTAGGTTTGCTGTGTCGTACGTGGGAATGTGTGACTTGCCCCATTACTATTGGCATTAGAGAAGCAAGCTTGAGATTTGCCTTCGAAAGAGCACTGGAAAGTACAATCATGAAAGAGTACTGCTGCTGAATCTGCGTAGTGAGCGGCTCTCTCTCTCTCTCTCTCTCTCTCTCTCTCTCTCTCTCTCTTCTCTCTCTCTCTCTCTCTCTCTCTCTCGCTCTCTCTCTCTCTCTCTCGCTCTCTCTCTCTCTCTCTCTCTCTCTCTCTCTCTCTCTCTCCTTCCCTCTCTCTCCCTCTCTCTGTCTCCCTCTCTCTCCTCTCTCTGTCTCCCTCTCTCTCCTCTCTCTCTCTCTCTCTCTCTCTCTCTCTCTCTCTCTCTCTCTCTCTCTCTCTCTCTCTCTCTCTCTCTCTCTCTCCTTCCCTCTCTCTCCCTCTCTCTGTCTCTGTCTCTCTGTCTGTCTCCCTCTCTCTCCTCTCTCTCTCTCTCTCTCTCTCTCTCTCTCTCTCTCTCTCTCTCTCTCTCTCTCTCTCTCTCTCTCTCTCTCTCTCTCTCTCTCTCTCTCTCTCTCTCTCTCTCTCTCTCTCTCTCTCTCTCTCTCTGTCTCTCTCTGTCTCTCTGTCTCTCTCTCTCTCTGTCTCTGTCTCTGTCTCTCTCTCTCTCTCTCTCTCTCTCTCTCTCTCTCTCTCTCTCTCTCTCTCTCTCTCTCTCTCTCTCTCTCTCTCTCTCTCTCTCTCTCTCTCTCCCCTCTCCCTCTTCCTCCCTCGCAAACGAAAGATCCTGACTTAAGAGGACAATAATGGCGCTCATGGAAATCCTCCATTTGGATACCTACAATGTACAATCACAATGTAGTTGGTAGTTGGTAGCTAATTGAATGGAAATGGTGTGACGTGTACCTAGTAGTAGCGATGGACATCTGTTCATCTCCTTGATTACGTACGACCAGCCAGAATAAACATCACCGCCCACTGAGATTAAAAGAGACCGCCTGGAGGCCTTACAAAATTCACTCCACACAATCATTTCTCTGTTGTATCCGTGCTTGTGCGAGCCAAATATAATACCTATCGTGTGATGAAGACTGCCCATCGCCAACGGATCGAGTGCTCGTGCACTCAAATACATGTACATCGCTGTGAACTGTGCCCGGTTTGAGGAGCCCTAATTGATTGATCTAAGTGGGACCCTCCCAAATCCTGAGTGGACGTGGACCCGATATCGTGACACGCACTACTGTACAAGAGTGATCTCGAGCTCTCAATGTTTCTCTAGTTCCAGCTAGGCACTAGCAATGCGGACACCATTACTAATGGCATTAGTCGGGGAGTATCGGTATAATATACCTCAAGTACTAGCAGTATGGTAAAAATTGTAAATGTACGTGCAAGTGAAGAGAAGCGATCCACACGACCTGTGCCATGCTTACCATTCGATTCAGGCTTTCATCATGTATGTGGAGCCTGTACCTGGTCCCAATACGCTCAAGGCCTGGAGAACTAACTAACTACTTGATGGATGATCGACGAAGATGTGCTAAGCACGAACAGAGTGCTAGTGTTGTGGCTAGACATGTACATCTATAACTAGTAGGTCAGACCCTCGTCTAACTTACGGTATGATCATGATGATCGCTGTCGCTGAGCTCGGTCTCTGTTCGTGCTTTATGACATTATGTTGTCGTTTCAACAGTACACGGGCACACCACCCGTAGCCCTGCACAACGCCTCTTCAAGCTCTTGTCCACTTCATTACAGTGTAAATCTCGAAGAGGCTCAAAGTCCTTAGCCCTTGCAGTGCCAATAAGCTAGCATGGCAATTTGTTTGTTCTATGCGCCGCTGCGCAACGTTGGGGTCCTCAGACACGTGTCGCCCAGAAGGCCCGAGTTGTAATCGTTGGGAGTTTGCTGTATGCCAGATCACGCCAACACACACTCCACTGTGGCGAAGAGTCTTCGTAACTGTCAGTGGACCATGATGGGTGTGGGTGTGTGTGTGTGTGTGGCCGCTTATCCCTTTCCTCACACTACCAACTAAGTTACTGGAATGTCGAAGAACCAGCGCAGCGCCCGTCTGGCGATGTCTCGCCTCGCCTAGATCCGAGTCGCCAGACCTTCTTGTTCTCCTGAACATCCGTCTGCTGTTTGTGTTCATCTACCTGTGGGGTAATGCCCGAGTCAACGAGTTTCATCGAACTGCATGACTGGTGCAGATCATTGATGTATGTGCCTGAAGGTGTACCTATTGACCATCTACTAGTACTCGCGAGAAGCCAGGTTGGTGTTTGGGGGGCTCGCTGGTGCCTTGTTCCCTTCACCATTGCACTGGTGACAGGGCAAACTCTGCGGGAGTGCGAGTCAGAATGGTCCGATAATTCCAGGCTCCTGATATCAACGCGGAGCACGCTTTCCGTGTTGTCCTCCGCGGCCGGGGACTGTGTGTGTGTGGTCGAACTGTTCCGTTCGGCCATTCAATCTGTCGTGCACTGCTCGCAGCATTCTGCATCCAGAATTCTGACAATTGGCGGGTGGCGACTGCAGCACCTTTCCGTTTGTCAGGCTTTCCCTGGTCAACCGACCTAGAACACTACATGACTATTGTATCATGTTCGCAAAGTCGAGTCGAAGATGTAATACATGTGCAATGATTACATTACAATGTACTAATTGAGAAGTTTGCCTTTATTTGAAAACAAACTGAGGTTTCGGAAATTGGGTAATGCAATGTACATGTACTTGTGCTTGCGCACGAATATTGCAATTTCCATTTTTATAGTTACATGTACAATGGACTGATACAAGGCGAACGACGTGCATTGTACATTTTAGACACCCATAACAGTTACCTTTACTTTAGTCTACTAAGTAAATAGTTAGGTTTTCGAATGGGCGACATGGATTTTCATCATGTCTACAGCAAGGATATGTACATGTTTATGGGTGAACAGCTGTTAGACTGCATTCAGTTCATAGACCAGAATACATACCACAAAGATGTTGAAACGCCACAATCCTGTAGACTACTGCTAGTCACATGACACTAACAAAAATTATTTCACTCACCCCTTTCTGTTGATTTCTTGCTTATTTTTCGCGGAAAATTAATTGTTGGCACTTGGCTCATTGTTTGCGATTACTTGTACATGTACGTACTTGCAGGTCAGATATCAAACGAGCTGAGCATTTTCGAGAACGGCTTTGAGAATCGCTGGCTGACATCCATCCTGTCCACTCCGCACGTGAAGCTACCGCCGTCCAAGAGCTCACTGGCATTTACATGGGAGAATAGCGGAAAGTATTCGGTACGTGAACATGTTTGTTGTATACTTTATTTATAGTGGAAATCAAAACAGGCCTGCAAAAAGGACCCACTGTAACATCAGAGCCTTGTACATTCTTAAATTATATGCCCATCGCCTTTTCAAGAATCGTGTGATGCGATGACTCATTTTAAATTAGAACCTACATAACCATGTATACAACAATTATTAAAATGAAAAAATGAATGTCCAGAACGTTTTCTCGTGACTGTAATCAGTGGAACATCGTCACATTGTAAGAATCACTAAAACAACCAAGTACTCGTATAATTATATATATAGCTAGAATACTGTCACACAATTATAATGAATAGCGTGGGAATGTATATACATGTAGCAGCTCGTGGTTACACACAGAGTCGTTTTCACCAGCAGTGTGAGCTTATGCCGTTAGCTTTTGCAGGGAATGCGACGTGTGTTCTTTTGCCTGAAGAGAATGATTTCTGGTTGTGTGGTACACGTACAGTTGCATTACCAGATCTCTGCAAGGTATCGCAATGCAGTGCAGTCCAGTCTGGAGAATGCCAGTCCGCAGCGCCACATCTCTATACCCTCGTCTGGACTGCTCTTACCGGAGAGCCGTCAATGTAAGCAGACGAACATGAAGTCTCTTTCGCCGATATCCCCCATAGTACTTATGATAGTGTTCATTGTCAATGTAGCGGATATTTTAAAAATGCAATACTACATTTTGCCCCATATCAGACAGATCTCCGTAAGTCATAGAGAGAACCGAGGGGTGTCTCCCAACCCTAAATTCTGAACTGCATCTTCTCGTCTTCTCTTACTTGTATAACCCTGCGTGTATGATGTTTATATGCACGCACTTTACACATTCGCACCCATGTAATAGGGCTTGCTGCTTGTGTGACTCTGCGAATGGAAATAAATAAATAAACAAAATGAGCTGAGCCAAAGGAGGCTAAAAGCAATTCAGACACAAAGGTCGGCAGGGAAAATTCAACAGCGCGGCTGTGACTTAGGAAAAAATGGATGAAGAACTCTCTTATACTAGTCAGTGCACTGAATGCAATCTGCGGTTTGCTTCCTAGTCCGACCAACTAACCCGTTCATGGTATTGTTTGTTGTACGCAGCGTTTCACGCTGAATTTGACTGCATTCCGGATACTGTTGGGATTAGCATACTGGAGGTTCGGTTTGACGTTGGTCAGATGCTGACCACATCGCTATTCTTTCTGCGCAATTGTACTGAAGGTGAGTTTGTGTGTGTGCATGTGTGTGTGCATGTGTGTGTGTGTGCGTGTGTGTGTGTGTGTGTGTGTGTGTGTGTGTGTGTGTGTGTGTGTGTGTGTGTATGTGCACGCTATCATCGCAGTAGCGATGGGTGTCCAATGTGTATGTGTGTGTTTGTGTGTGTGTGTGTGTGTGTGTGTGAGGGGGGGGGGGGTGGGGGCGCTTGCATGCGTGCGTGTGTGTGTGTGTGCAAGAAACATTTGGTCAGCATCCTCAACGGCCTTGCATTCATTGCCACTGTACTTTGTCACTTGGCTACACTCTTTACTATAAATGGAGACATACAGAGCTCTCACTAATTATTTGAAAATTACACATTGTAGTTTCACTAGTTTGAAGTAGGTGAAGAAGAGGTTGGGACGACTGAAGAAGGTGAAGAAGAGGTTGGTACGACTGAAGGAGGTGGATTAAATATAATTTGAATTTTTTGAGAAGGACGTGTGGCATCAGCAGACAAGGACTGGTTCCTGGAACATTCCCTATAGGCTAGCAATGGGTTACCAAAAGCCTTTTCGTTTAGTCGAACCACCAGCAGAGGTTCGCACTCTGATGTGAAGTGTTTTTGTTGTCCTTCATCCCCGGTCCGTTCACAGAATACGCCCGCAGACACACGGTGACACCAAACATCTCCTCCAACAGCTACGACGACAGCTCTCTGGACTCCGTATCACAGGACACGCCATCACGCCGTAACAGCTCCGGTAAGCACACTCCACCAGCACAGCTCATGCAACGCCTACACACCCAATGTTGTACTTTTGTTTTTGATTTCGTTTTGTTTCTCCGCCTTTATTATTATTCCACACTCAAGATGACATAGTGCCAATAAACATGTGATGCGGGCGATTTTAACCAGCCATGGCTTTCCGTAGGTGAGCTCTGGTGAAGAAAAAGAAAAAAGAAAAACAAGGTAGCCCCTGTGTCTACTGTTTGCAGAATGTCTCTATTCTTTGCTTCAAGACGGGACATATCCGAGAGTGCACAATTGCTAGCATCATCAACATCATCATCATCATCATCACAAAAATTGCATCCTCTTTTCACGTGCACTTTACCGGCATGTGAAGATTTCATGCAGCCTACCTAGTAGGTTTGCTTGGGGGAAACTCCCCGATCTCTTTTGGATTTCTTAAAGCAATGTGTCAAAGTTCTGATCATTGTTCCCTCTGCTGTCACTCGTGTGTGTGTGTGTGTGTGTGTGTGTGTGTGTGTGTGTGTCCATGCATATGCGTATAATATGTGTGTATGCGCGCATGTGCATGTGTATGTCTGGATATGTGTCCAATGCGGTGTTCGTTGTTCTGACCCTACAGATCCGGCTTGCCTTCTAGCACGCCGCTACTGTGGCTTCACTGCACCCAGTGACTGCCCTCAGGAAAGGGTCTGCAAGAGGGTGTGTCGCATGCCCAGGAAGCGCAACGGAGAGCGCCTCGGTCGGATATGCAATTCCTCCGCAGGTGAGAGAAAAAGTGCAATGTGTGTGCATGCGTGAATCTTGCCATATGTGTGTATGTATGAATCCTGTCATGTGTGTGTATGTGGGAATCCTGCAATGTGTGTGTGTATGTGGGAATCCTGCAATGTGTGTGTATGTGTGAATGCTGAAACTATATCCCTCAATGCTCCCATCGATATAATATGTATACAACTTCTTCCTTGCTTGGTAGCGATGTTGCATTTCGATCAGATTTGACGTGTGGTCTGCTCTGTGCTTTTTCCAACCTCCTGTCCAGTGGTGACAGCACAGCTGGTGGTGCGGCGCTCACGGCGAGAGGGTCGATGTGGCACGGTGATGCACTTTGCCACACGCTACGCACAGAGCTACAGCAAGAGCCGCAACAGCTCATACATCGGCTTCTCGTCGTTCTCCGCTGACACGTTCCGCGTGGTCGTGCCGGAGGAGATCGCTCGCTGCCGCTGCTTCGGCGAGTTGACAGCGGGCACGCAGTACATCATCACCGGTCGCTGGAACACGATGAAGTCGCGGCTGCACCTGGACGCTGACAGCCTGGTCGTGCGGCTGAGACGGAAACTGCGCGCCTACCTCATACGCACAGAGTGCTGACCAGGTGCGGCAGGCGAATGATTTCGATGAAATTTTACGGATGCAACACCGGGGCGTATCCATTCATGGTCATTATGTGCATGCTGAACCTAGGTGGAAATTGTTAGGGGGTGCACGTGTCCCCCGTGCCCCATTTGGGTTACGCACCTGCAGCATACCGCCAGTCCAACACAGCACACCCTCATTCACGACTTATCCAGGCTACTTATCACGTACATAACACCACCATGGACACGGAGTACTAACTTAGCAATCAAGTCGTAACTTTATGATTTAATCCACGCTTTGAGATTCTACTCTGCGACTATTCCGAAATTGTGATGGCATCGTCAACCATGGCTGATCTTATAATATATACTTCACACCAACCGTTTGAGCCTTCTTCACACTCACAGACCTCCCGTCGTCTCATTCGCTACGAGACTTTGAGATGACGAAAACTTGATCTACGCATGAAGCAACGCTCCCAATGTCATTCGCCAGCAACCACTTTCCTGCTTCTTTCACAGTGGAAACTGGAAGCCTTGATATCTAGCATTCTTTTTTAACCATTGTGTGAATATTGTAGCGAACTCCAATGACAGTTTGCCTCCCGCAGGCACTACACCGTGTGCCAATTCTCAGTATTATTTCAAATGTACCGGTAATTGTCTTGGCTGTGGTTGTGGGCCGGGGGTGAGGTGAAAGCGGAGTGTGTCTGTCAGTGTGGTGTGTGCAGCACGGAGTTCTTCAGCTCACGTAATCGCTGTCACCTTGTTGCCACGTTGTTCACCACTGCACAATGTGTTTACCAAGGCACTTGCCATTCAGTACTACTGTAATGTTTAGCGTTTTCTGAATCGGGATTGATCCGCCATGAATAATCAGAGCGGTCCGAGTTCCAGAGATCAAGAAAGAAGACGAACAGTGCTGTGCTGTACATGCAAAATTTCGATGTTGACTTGCCACTTCAGCGACACTGTTTCAGCGCAAACCGATGCATTTCAGCGCCAGCACTTCAGCGCCTGATTTCACAGCGCCATGACTATCAGCGCCGTTAAGTACAGCGCGACATGCACAGCGAGATAAAGTACAGTGCGAAGTCAGGTGCTAGGCGATGCCCATGACGTGCATAGTACTAGTTTGTATTATCAATAAATTGGCGCTGACATACATGGCGCTGAGATCTGTGGCGCTGAGAGAGGTCACGCTGACATATTCGGCACCGAAATATTTGGCGCTGACATATTTTGCGCTTATCTACTGGCGCTGAAGTATGCGGCGCTGAAATATTTCGCGCTGTAAAACTCGGCGCTTACGTCCACGGCGCTGAAACGGTCGCGCTCACCTGGTTGGCGCTCAACGTTAGGGCGCCGAAATTGCAAAATGGTATGGAATCATATCGATTGGCACGGCAAAACTTTGGCGAGAACACTCCTTTCGCTATAATCGCTAAACATCACCGGCGCTAAATATAGGCGTTTTACAGTATCGTGCCATAGAAATTGGCTCCCCTGTCTGAATTCATCATTTTTTTTTATTGAGAATCTAGCCGTGTGGTTAGACGAGAAGGCAGAAATGCCTGCGTGTCTGGTGGAGTAAACATATTAATTTTGGTTTTCGGTTGGAGGACAGCAAACTAACGTACGCAGTACAGAAGCGATGTACAATGTACAGCACTCCTCAATGAAATCCAGTCGTGTACGAGCCGGGTGTTGAGCAGCCCTGGACCTGCTAATATTGGGCTGCGGAACGATTCAAGAGTACGCGTACTTGAGTGACTCGACTGGATTTCATTGAGTAGTGCTGTAATGCCGACGAGGCCTTTCATACCATTACTCTTCAAGTAGAAGAAGTGAAATAGAAACAAGCAAATCTCCTTCACAGAACTCACCCACGTTGCATGCACCGCGCCGGCCGTCAAACTCAGTGGACACCAAAGCATACTATGCCAGTGAGCTGAGGGTAGGAAAGGTCATCATTGCTTCTGCAAAATGCGCACTTAGTTATTTATAGAGCTCGCGGGTCAACATAGCCAGACTAGAAGAAGTGCATGGAAAGCTTCAAATGGAACTGGAAATGGCGAAAATATGTTTGGTGAGGTACCGGAATAAATCTCAACAATTAGATATTTTCACGATATGCAAGTCCGTCACAAGAAACCATGCAGGCTCTTAGAAAATTAATGGTATACGTTTGCATAGCAGGTTATCATGGAAATTATATTCTGCTTATACACGGTTTCTGTAACACCAGGAAGTGGAGAAAAGCAGCTGGAGTTGCTGAAGTAATCGCATGGATTCAGATGCGTGTGAAAGACCCACGGTAAATTGCTAGGGATGTGATAATCAAAATATTCTTCAGCTTGAGAATTGAGAACGGAAGAAGAATCGGTAAATGGTGTCAACTGATTTTTTACTTACTTGCGAAAGAAACTATGAGCAATTTCGTTTTTCCATCAGGCATCACAATTCATTTTGAAGCCGGGGGGGGGGGGGGGTGGGCACTAATTTGGCAATGCAGTAGGTAGGTTTAGTTTACTGGTGAAAGAATGTAGACCCATCCAGTGGACCGACTCATGATAGGTCTCGAACTGGTCTTCGCTGATCAAAACTGGGCACTCAATCAGAGTCAGATCTGGTGCATGTGCTGATGTAGGAATTGGCTGACAATGGACAAATAATGTATTCAGTGCTCACTTTGCCGGAATACACACTCACGTACAACGACACACGCATACATACACACGCACACTTGCAGGCGCACGCGCACACACGCTCACTCACTCACACACACACACACACACACACACACACACAAACACACACACATTCGTACTTCGGGGAGGCTTCATGGAGGCGACGATTCACGGCTTCCAGTTCCATTGGTGAGCGCATCACTCTGCAGCCAATCACTGACATCGTCGTGACCTAGCGGTTGTGTATGAAGCTGCTCATCTTGAGCAATCCACAGGGCTTCGTTTTGTCGACGTGTCACAAGCTCTTTCAATTCACTGATCAGTGGTTTGAAATCACTCTGGCGATCAAAGACCAAGGTATCTGTGGCATACACACATGGACCAAACCACCCACGCACACCCACACACAATAACCCAAGTAATTCACCATGGCTGCGCAATTACACACGGTATTTCCCCGATTTTCAGTCGCACTTGATTGTAAGTCGCACCCCCATTTTCATGTTTCAGCCAATTTTGCGTCAATACGTTCACATAAGTAGGGTACCAGACTCCATTGTATTGTAAGTCGCACTCCTTTCTATGCCCTTGAAGTCTAGTGGCAAACTATGCGCCTTGTATTTAGGGAAATACGGGACACACAAAAAAGAGTTCATGAGACCCAGAGTGTGCAGCTCTGATGGGTTGCTGTCACGGCAAAATTCAGTGAAAGCACTACATCACTTCAATGATGTAGTGCATACAAGCTTGATTCAAGCCGCAGGTCTCTTTCTGCACAACTGCAGCTCAGTTGTACGCACTACGCCACTTCCCACCTCAGATCTGCACCAGATTCAGGGGTGTCGCACACGATACCGTCACTATGGTAATGACCGTACCACTCTTTGCCTCTGGTGCCCCGTGAATCAATAAAAATAATGCTTTGATTTGGGCTCTAGATTTCGAAACTTTCCGAAGGAGCCACCCCAACCCAACCCCACAAGCAAAATGTACTTCAGGTGGCTGACCGTACCACCCTGAAATACCTTCTAACGCCCCTGAGTCTGATATGATGTAATCCCGGAATTTCGCCGTGACAGATACCCATGCAGAAGAGGTCACAAGCTGCACGCTCTAGGTCTGATGTCCTGTCGCCGACATTGACATCCGTTGAGAAGTCAAGCGGTCACGGGGTATTGACCTTGCAGCCGCAGGCATTGCTGGTCCATGGTTACAGTGTGTACTAGGTTTTTCATTTGACCCGACGAGACCACACGACGCTTGCAGAAAAACCTAATACCTAAAAAAAATATTACTACTATTTGACGGACCTATTGAAGATGGCAACAAGGAGTTATTTTTTAAATGTGTACGTGAACTGCAGTGCGTGCACGCCCTAAAAGCAATAAGGGTACCGGCCCCGGTCATCCCATCGGATTTCAATATCCACGACAGTAATCATGACACTACGAAGTCTTTCTCGTCTTTTTTTCACAACATAACCACTAACCATCATAGTGCAAACGCCAGTAAGAGATAGCGGGGAGGCACATAACGAAGGCAGTTGACGCAGCGGGGACGGGGCAGAAGCGGCTGAACCGACCAAGGGCTTCGGTGACAGTTATCAACACAGCTCCAGTGCGCCAAACAAAAAAAAGGGTAAATGAAAATAAAATAAATCACTTACCAGTAATACTCATGTGCTGTGCTGCCAACGCATTTCCCTGCTGTAGAATCTGACCAGCCTTGCCTTCTTCCACACCTAGGCAAAAGCTAAAGAAAAAAAAGAGAAGCCAAATTAATAAAAAAAAGAAAAAGAACTGCCGAAACCCGGGATTGAACCAGGGACCTTCAGATCTTCAGTCTGACGCTCTCCCAACTGAGCTATTTCGGCTGCTGAAGTATTCCATGTACGAAATTGTCTTGAGGATACGATATTTGGATCTTTTAAAAATGCTGGTAGTAGTAGTAGCAGTGGCAAGTTTTCATTGTTCTATTTTTTTTTTTTTTTTTTTCTACAAAATCCACATATCTCCAGACACTGGGGTGAATGATGGAGTGTGGTGGTGGGGCCCATTAAGCTCCGCCGACCAGAGGTCTCGGCTTCATAGCTCCATGGACGCAAAAAAAAAAAAAAAAAAAAATAGAACAATGAAAACTTGCCACTGCTACTACTACTACCAGCATAAGGTAACAAATAACCGGCCTTCCTTCTTCTTTTTTTTTTACAGAGAACCGTAGACACATTTTGGGCTGACTCAGCATTCTGTCAGTGCATGTCAACACAAAATTGTGAAAGGAATCGATGGGGAACTAGGGTCGTCCAGAAATGCTCAACAAACCTGCCACAGCTGCGTGATTATGCACTGTGGTGTTCCTGGCAACAGGAACAGGCTATTCTGAATTCCCATCGTCATGGATACGGCCTAGCATAATTACTGTACATACATGTAACGGCTTGGATGAAGTTTACGACATTATCAGATTTCAAATGCTACCTCTCCCCCCACCCCATCCCCCCTCCCCCTCTCAAGAAAAAAGAACAAGGCTAAAAGCATATGCATCGGCATTATCAGATTTCCAGGTGCTATCCCCCCCTCCCCCCCCCCCTCCCCCCTCCCCCCCCCCCTCCCCCCCCCCATACATGTATGCTATATGTTGAAGACAAGCACTCTTACCACATGTGACTGATGTTGTTGACAACGATGCGCACGACTATGGGATGCAGACAGTGACTCTGCAGGATGCTGACTACGTTGGTACTGACATTGGCAAATACGCTGTGTTTTTGCTGAGAACACGAAACCAGAATGGGAGAAGAGATACAACACAATCTCAATTAACTCATAGTACCATTGTTGAGTTAATCTACATATATAACCCCTCCCACCCCACCCCCTCCCCCCCCCCAAAACAGTCGAGAGAGAGAGAGAGAGAGAGTGAGGGAGTGAGAGAGAGAGGGGGGGGGGGAGGTTATGAGCAAGTGTCCGTGTTGGATTTTGCCAAAAAATTCCAAAAATGAACTAAGATTCAAAAATACAGTGAATCAAACTAATGAGTAGCAAACAAAGACACACAGGCACTGACCTTCTTGGAAAGGTCGTGTATGCTCTGAATTGCTACGATACGCGTCTGTCCGTCAGCATCGGTGAACTCCATTCGGCTGCTGCCTCGGCGAAGTTGATTCAACGCCGCTTCTTGACCTGCGGGGGACAAAACGTTCCAAAGGACATATGAACACGAATGTTAAAGGAAGAAAAACTACTTTGTCGAGGCTCAATGTCTGCAAAATCCTCTTCCACCCTCTCAACTAGTTTTTAAAGAATTATGTTCACACAGAATATCCCCGTCAGGCGAAATTACTGGTCAGTCGGCGACACGTATTTTTCACAAAATTTTGCGTTTCACCTGCTGGGAGAGTATGCGT